TTATCGAATTCATTACACGTTTATCGATTACAATGAATTCAAACAAGTTAATCTTTTTATAAGACTACTCGCTTACACAAATGAGATAAGAATTACAACTCTCTTCAAACACACGCAGAGGACGTTTATCACCCGTTGCTTGTGTAAGATCTTTGCCTGTGCCGGGGACGCATTAGTTCGCGGACCACCGCGGATCAGATCCGGTTGAAAGAACAAAATCTCAATGCTCGTGCTTCACAAAGGAAACAATCGCAAAAGTAAATAATCTCAACAAAGTGAGATTACTACTCTTCTCGAGATCAAAACAAAGTCTGATCTCAAGGAATTATGAAACGGGGCTCAGATCCTTTGAATAGCTCCCTCTTTATGCTGGAGTTCGCCAAGATCTGCTAGCCCTTCTCTGAAATTTTTGGTTCACTCTCCAATTTGACAACATCTCGCCTCTAATTTCCGATCCCCCATGTATAGGGACCTAAGTTTGTATTTATAGGCTTTAGTTACGGTGTTTTTAAATAAGAACAAGTGATCTGGCCTCATCTTCAGTTAATAACGGCCTAACCACGTTTAGGCATGATATCCAAGTAGTTGGGAGGCAATGAAGAAATCTCGAGAAAACATCGAAATACGTGTTTTAGCGTTTCAGGGCGCGAGCCACCCTGAGGTGGCTCGGCACTGTGCGAGCCACCCTAGGGTAGCTCGGATTTGGTCGAGCCAACTTAGGGTGACTCAGCCTTGGCCGAGCCACCTGGCTTGGTCGAGTCGTTTTGATGTGACTCGACTTCCAGGGGCTTCTGTGGACTTTCCGGTTTGGTCTTATTCCTCCGTTTTACACATTTTGTTGTTTCGTTGACTCGTACGCTTTGTTGACTTGCTTCGTGTACTCATTAGCTCTTTTACAACACGGATTATTCCATTTGACTCGGATAATGGCGTTCATCACATTCTCTTCATTTTGAGCTGTGCGCGGGAACCTATAGACATTTTTTGACGCCTACATGGTCTCTTCCACACATGGAGGATAGGTTACATTTTTAGACAAACTGTCATCTCTCCTAACAATGTCGCACTCCCAAGACCAGAAGTCTATTTCATGCATGGGCAATAGCCCGAGGCAGGGAGGCAATCTGACATTATTGTTGAAATGGGGGAGGTTGTCACCCCTCCATCCAGCGTCATATCTGGGAATGGAGGTGATCGTCCTCCTCTTGATATAAGCCAAGGTAAACCCAAGACTTCCGTTATCCGAGGATGGGGGAGACGCGAGGAGGGAGAGGGTTGTGAGAACGTGACATCTCAGTATATCTCAGGCTTCCTATCTTCCGAGGTTTGTCAAAAATAATATTCAAAACAGAGCTTAGGATAACTGACAACTCGATATCTATCACGCTATACATCCTAAGACATGTGTGTGTGTATATATATATATATATATATATAAAGACTCTTCATATCATGCAATGATCCCTAACAAACATGAGTAGATAGAAACTTTGGTTGACCATCTACTTAAGTTGACATAAGAATTGCTCTATATATATATGTGTGTGTGTGTGTGAGGAAAATGAGTATGCTTGGTATCAATTATAAATTTTGTGCTTGGTAGTGAGTTGTCCTATTCTCATCCACTCATTCCAATTCCCAACCACTCCCCAACTCATGTGAATGTGGGCCCCGATTTTAATGAGTGGAGAGGAATATGTCACCTCACTACTAAGCACAAGTTTTTGTTTTGTAGGTTACCAAAAATACTTATTTTTCTCTCTCTTCTCTCTCTCTCTCTCTCTCTCTATATATATATATTATATATTATAATATATATATATATATATATATAGTATATATATATATATATATATATTAGTATAATATAATATATATTATATATATAGCAAGACTCTTATCAACTTTAGTTTTGATGTCCACCAAGCTTACTAGCCACACCATTTAATTAATATTAAAACACATTTTTATATATATAAGATCCCTAGGCCATTATGAGTGGCTTAAAAACTTTGTGGACATACTATTCCCGATCCACTTAAGTTGGACACAAGTTTTCACCTATATATATATAATATATATATATATATATATATATATATATATATATATATATATATATATATATAGTATATTATATAATATATATATTATTATATATATAATTATTTATATATATATATATATATATGGAAGACGAGAGAGAGCAGATGAGAGAAATTAGGTATGCTTGTACGAAGCACAAAATTTTGTGCTTGGTTGTGACAGGTGGCACAATTCTCACTTAAAATGATGTGACACAATCTACACCATTGGAATAATGTAGCGAGAGAGAATATCACCATTGGTGGGGATTGTGACATATCTTTAATTTTTCAATCGGAGGAAATCATCCCTCCTAAACGTATGAGCAGAGAATTGTGAGTGGTGGAGATTTGGTCTTACTTTGATGAGGATGGTGCGGATTATGTCCATTATTAGGCCGACTAAGGAGGAAATCCCCTCCTATTGACGAAATGAACCCATTAAATCTTTTATATATATATAATATATTATATATAATATATATATATATATATATATATTATATACTATATTATATATATATATATATATATATATATATTAATATTATATAGTATATCCAGAGATTTCTATTAGTGTATCGTAACAGTCCTCATCATATCACATATCAGTTAATGACGACAAAAATCAATGCAGAAATGCAGATATATATCCATAGAATCAGAAGGGTTAATTAATTAGAAATCCCTCTCAACTTGCGGCTTGTTTCAGAAAGCCCCCCTTAGCTATTTTAACATTAAATAAATACCCCCCCCCCCCCCCTTATATTGAGGGTGTTGTAGATAACCCCCTCAATTTTCAAAATATGACTAACACCCCCCTCCCCCCCCCCCCTAACTTGGGAATGTCTCACAAAACCCTCTTTATCTTTCTATTTTTTTGAATAACCCTCCAAATATTATTAATTTGATTTATGCAATGATTTAAATATCATTGGTTGAAAAAAAACCATGTATATTTAAAAACCCAACCCAATAAAAAAATTAGACTTAGTTCTATGAGTTTTGATGAGGAAATTAATCTTTAAAAATGTCAAAGGTTTTAATTGTTTCAAACATTACAAGCATGGACAAGCAGAAAATAAAGAAGCTTAGTGTTTCAAAAAAGAAAGAAAAAAAAGATTTGCACGTGAACCTAGCAATGGATCACTACGGTAAAAACTTTAATGTCTTAAGGATAGTAAGGTCATTTCAAATCATTTGTTTCTTTATATATTAAGTATATTTATAACCAAAAAATTTAAAAAGAAACGCTACGGTAAAAATTTACTTTTTTAGGGATACTAGGGTCATTTTAAATTATTTGTTCCTTTAAATATTAATTATATTAATTTTGGGGGTTAAGTGAGAAAAGTTAGGGGGGATAAATCATATTTTGAAAGTTGACAGGGTTATCTATAACAACTCCTTAATTGAGAAGGATTTTCTAGAGTTAAAATAGTTGAATGAGATTTTCTGTCGAGGGGTTTTCTAAAATTAACCCAGTCAAATAATTGATCTCAAATAGCAATTACAGAGTCTCAATGGTTCAAGGCCTCAACATACTACACAGCGTCAACGTAAAGTACCAACGCCACAAACAAGGATATGATAAATAGTTGAATGGGGTTTTCTGATACGAAACCTACAGTCGAGGGGTTTTCTAAAATTAACCCAGTCAAATAATTGATCTCAAATAGCAATTACGGAGTCTCAATGGCTCAAGGCCTCAACATACTACACAGCGTCAACGTAAAGTACCAACGCCACAAACAAGGATATGATATTTGACTCATGCTGAACTTTTTTGTGCTTCATCTATTTCTTAAGGGATATTTGAGTGAAATAAACGTACCGAGTATAGGTAGCAGCAGATTCTTCTTCTTTCTTTCTTTTTCTTTTGGTGCTATTGTACTCTTTTAATGTCTTAATTTGACCTTTAGATATATACTATTATTAAGTTGGTTTTCCAAATATGGTAACAGCGTATTTCGCCTCTACTTTTGTTAGGAGCATTCTAAAATATTCCAACTAGGCCTGTCCATTCCGGCCCAAGGTTTGGACCGCCCGGACTCGGGAAAAGCTTGGGGTTTTGGGCCAAACCGCACTAAACCCAAGGCCCGGACCATCCTGGACTCAGGAAAAGCTTGGTGCAATCCGCATTGGGCCCGGCCCGGCCTGGAAAATGGTCGGGCCGAAGTACTCGGTTCCGGGCCTAGCCTAGATCCAGCCCGGTCCAAACGGTCAAAAAACTAAGCATTGGATCGGGCGGTCCGGACTCAGCCCGGTCCAATGGTCAAAATTCTAACTGTTGGACCGGGTCAGGCCAGACCTGGCACGGTTTGGGCTGCCCAAATAGCCTAAAACAGCTATTTTAAGAAAATTTTAAAAAAAAGAAAAAATAACCAAGCCAGCCCGGTGTCCAACCCGTTCTGGACCGGACCTGGCCCAAGCCCACCGGGTCTAGGTTCGGGTCACCCATTTTGCCCAGCCCAGACTAGGATTTCCAAGTCGTGTCGGCCCGAATGGACAATCCTAATTCTGACTATATTCTCTAAAAAAACAAGTTAGATTATTAGGTAGTTGTTGTAGCGAAACATTGTTCATAGCGACAACGCACCTGTCTTGATCTAGAAAGATTTTGTTGGTTTTTTTGCTTTGAAGCTGAAGTTTCCCTCCATTTATTTTTGAACTCAACTACATTCAAAGTTGTATATCTTACTTATAAAGCCAATGTTACTCCCTGTCACGCCCTAAATTTATAGCGGAAATTTATAAATATGATTTATGCGACAGCATCGACCCATGCACGAGACAAGTCCTGCACATGAGTCAAGCCATTCACTTCATATCACATAGCTTATCTCAAAACATATATAAACATCTTGATGATAGAAGTTCAGAGCCACTATATATATAAAATCAGTACTTACAACCTACAAGCTCATCATTACAAGCATTACACAAAATAAAGCATATTGTTGATTGTATGAAACACCAAAGAGAAGGTTTTTCCATATAACGCCTCTCAGCCATATGCCACAACCAAAAGTTCAGCTTATAATATAGCTAGGCAAGATCTGAAAGTTTTAAAAAAACAACGGGGTAAGCTAGGGCTCAGTGAAAAACATTTCCCACTAGAGTTCCTAGATAACTAACATAATAATAATAATTCCCAAAAATAATAAATTATAAGTTTTGCACAAGAAATTTCAAAAATAGCAAGGTATGGTCCAAACTGTAGAAAACGGCATTGAATTGTTCAAAGTGTTGGAAAACAATAAAATTCAGCAGGCCATAGGTGTGGTGCGTACCACACCCGAGTGTGGCATAATCTTCCCTATTGTCAGGGGTGTGGTACGTGCTACACCCGGGTGTGGCAGACGCGTTTTCAGATTCCCATCCCGTTTTAGATTGTATTTTGTTATAAATAGAAACACGCGTTTTTAGGGTTTCTTAAGCAGAGAATTAGCATTGTTTTGAGCACTTTGAGAGGGAGATATTGTGAGGGAGTTAAGATCTTTGGTTAGGGTTATTTTTGTGAGTTTGTGTGAGGTGTAACCCGTTGTAATTCTCCTCCATATAGTGAAATCTCCCCCATCCTCTCCCCGTGTATGTAGGCAATTGCCAAACCACGTAAATCTCTATATTTGTGTGATTTTGGTCGTTATTTTGGTGGATTGCACTCGTGTTTGGTTTTAGTTCTTCTCTCATCGCTCGTCGACTCGTTTGGTTCGTGAGCACGCTTCCGCACGGTGCACGACAATTGGTATCAGAGCTCAGATTTTCAGATCTAGGGTTTTGCATTGGGTGGAGGAAAATTCGCTGTTGGAAGCTTGGTTCTTGGAGATCTAGGCTTCAATGGAGATAGCATTGTGGAGTTGCCATTGAAAGATCTCACTTTCCTTGTGTGGCTCGGAGATCGTGTTGGAACCCTATCTAGGGTTTAGTTGGATAATTTCTCAATTCTATCAAGTTTGAATCTTTTTTTACAATTTAGAGTTTGCAAGCAATGAGAGAATAAGTTGGTGAAAGTAGCAAGGCGATGATGATTACAGTTCAGGTTGCACTTCAAAATACGAAGATCGGTGTTGTGAAGTATGACGACAATATTAACTTTGGTTCGTAGATGAGTGATGTGCAAGATGAACTAAATGCTCAAAATTTAGAAGAGACCATCATGGTCCATGAGAGGCCACCGAAGTGTGATGAGGCGGTATAGGACAAGATGAACCGAAATGCTTGTGGGGTAATAAGATCTTGTTTGGAACAAGAATTAAAGTATGATATGATTGGTGTGACGTCTGCGATAAAGATGTGGGAGATTCTTAATAATAAGTACCTTACGAAGAATGTTGAGAACCATTTGCACTTGTTGCGAAGAATTTTTAGATTCCAGATGTCCAGGGGTACCTCACTTGCGGATCATGTGAACAACTACACAAAGTTATTATCTGACTTGGCGAACGTTGATGAGAAGATAACGGATGAGTACAAGACGATTATTTTGTTAGGCTCCTTACCCGATGAGGAGTATGATACATTCGTGCTCACTTTGTTGAATGGTAGATCTTCAATTACCTATAGTGAAGTGACTAATGCGTTAACGAATTACGATCTGAGGAGGAAGGACAAAGAGACTTTCAAAGCTAGTACTTCAGGAGAGGCCTTGTCGACGAGAGGAAGGAGTCCCTATCCGAGAGGAGGTAATCGAAGTAGGTCAAAGTCAATGGGCCACTACCAATTAGCGAAGAACCAATGTATTTTTTGCAAAGAACAAGGACATTGGAAGAGAGATTGCCTGAAGCTCAGAGAGAAGGAGAATAGCAAGAAGAAGGGCCCGAAGGTCAATGAGGTGAATGTCGCTAGAGGTGATGATTCCAACGATTCATGCTTTTCTCTATTGATTACTCCAGATGTTAACCATGCTAATGCATCAGATTGGATGCTGGATTCTAGTGCTACTTATCATGTAACTCCTCGATGAGATTGGTTTACATCATTCGAGAAGCTCGATGGGGGCGTGGTAGTTATGGAAAATGATCAATCCTGTAATATTTGTAGGATAGGTACCATCAGGATTCGGATGCACGATGGAGTTGTTCATGAGCTGAATGAAGTGAGATTTATTTATCAGTTGAAAAGGAATTTTATTTCCGTTAGAGCTTTGGAGGCAAAGGGATTCAATGTGACTTTTGAGAACGCTGTAGGAAAAGTTACTAAGAATCTTTGGTAGTGATGAAAGGAATCCGTAGTAGGAATCTTTACTATCTGAATGGAAGTATCGAGATTGGCTAGGTAGCTTCAGTTATTTTAGAGGCGGACGTGAGCAGACTTTGGCACTACAGATTAGGGCACATAGGTAAAAAGTCACTGCAGGCGATGTGCAAGCAGGGGCTATTGAAGAGAGTCAAGAGTGGGAAGATTAAATTCTGTGAGCACTGTGTTCTTGGAAAGAAGACAAATGTGAAGTTCAGGACAGTCGTACATAGGATGACAAGCATCTTGGACTACATGCACACGGATGTTTAGGGTCCGACCAAGACGACATCACTTGTTGGTCGATATTAGTTTGTCACTTTTGTAGATGACTATTCTAGGTATGTACACCATGAAGCATAAGAATAAAGTCCTAGAGTTATTTGTGGAGCGGAAGAGGAGATTAGAATTGTAGTCTGGGAGAAAAATTAAGACGTTGAGATCCAACAACGGCGGTGAGTACACTTCAGACCCCTTTCAACAGCTATGTCGAGAAGATGGCATAGAGAGACACTTCATAGTTAGTCATATGCTGCATCAAATTGAGGTGGCAGAGATATTGAATCAGTCTTTACTAGAGAAGGTCCGATGTTTGTTATCATAGAGTTATTTGGAGAAGATCTTTTAGGCTAAGATACTTTCATATGCGAGCCACCTCATGAATAGGCTGTCTTCATCTACGAATGAGGGAAAACCCCTATAGAGATATGGTCAGGAGAGCCAGCGCGTGATTATGATCACTTCAAGGTATTTGGGTGCCCTACATTTTATCATGTGAAGACTGATAAATTGGAACCTCGAGCTAGAAAGGTCATATTTGTTAAATTCAAGCGTGGTGTGAAAGGATACAAGCTTTGGAATCCAGTTGATAAGAAAATTATGCTGAGTAGAGACGTTACCTTTCATGAGGCTTCTATCTTAAAGCTTCCCAGCTCTCATCAGGTGGAGAGCACCCTGACAAAGGAGATATCGCAGATGGTGGAGATTGATATAGATCCACAGTGTCCAGATAATACTGTATCCATTAGAGTGACAACTGAGGTGATGCTAGGCAAGCACAACGATGATTTGGAGGATACATGTATAGTTGAGCAGGATCAGGGACCGACGATTCAGGTTCAGGATTCAATTGCGGTTCGGAGACCTAGGAGAGACATACAATTGCCAGCTAGGTATACAGACACAGTCGTTGCATATGCACTTCCAGTGGAGAGTGTCAATGAGATGGTTCCTACTACATTTAGAGAGGCTGAGCAGAGTTCAGAGGCTGATTTGTGGCAAGTGGCTATGCAGGAGGAGATGGAGTCTCTTGACAGGAACGACACATGGGAGCTTGTTGAGCTTCCAAAGGGGCGAAAGGCTATTGGTTGTAAATGAGTGTATACGAAGAAGGAGGGCATTGAAGGCATTCTGGTGAGGTTCAAAGCTAGGTTGGCAGTGAAGGGCTATGTACAGGAAGAATGCATTGATTACAATGAGGTCTTTTCTCCAGTGGTGAAACACTCTTCGATTTGGATCTTGCTAGCTTTGGTGGCATAGTATGGTTTGGAATTGAATCAATTATATATGAAAATGGTATTTCTTCATGGTGATCTTGATGAGGAAATCTATATGACTCAGCCATTAGGGTTTCGAGCTGCAGGAAAAGAGAAATTGGTTTGTAGGTTGAAGAAATCTCTATACTGGCTGAAGCAATCTCCTCGACAGTGGTATAGGCGATTCGATGAGTTTATGATCGGTCATTCGTACACTAGAAACCAGTTTGATACTTGCGTGTACTATCGCAATTCATGAGGAGGTGCGTATATTTTTTTATTGCTTTATGTCGATGACAAGTTAGTTGCTTCTATTTCCAGATCCTCTATAGATGAGTTGATGGAGATCAGCAGAGATAGAGATAGGGGCAGAATTTGTTTGACACATGTGGCTTATTTGAAGAAGGTGCTACAGCGGTTTAATGTGAGTATGGAGACGAAGCCAGTTAGTGTACCATTCGGAGCCCATTTGAAGCTTTCAGCTGACCTTTCACCAAAGATAGTTGATGATAGAGAGTTAATATCGAAGACTCCATATGCAAGCATAGTGGGAAGTTTGATGTACGCCATGGTTTGTACGAGGCCGGATTTATCACAGGCAGTGAGCTTGGTTTCGATATACATGCACGACCTAGGTCCAGGTCATTGGGATGCCGTGAGATAGATTTTGAGGTACATTCGAGGTACTCTCAATGTTGGTTTGATTTTTGTGTGGGACACTAGTGGCGGACAGCTATGTATTGGATACATAGATTTAGACTACGCTGGAGATTTGGATAAACACCGGTCAATGACGGGGTATGTGTTCACTTTGACCCGTGCGCTGTTGTGTTGAAGATGCACCTTGCAATCTATAGTGGCTTTGTCGATGACGGAGGCAGAGTATATGGTGATTACAGAGGCCGTTAAGGAGGCGATTTGGCTTTGAGTACTTTTGGAGGATCTTGGTGTTTCGCAGCGATCCGTCACTATTTATTATGATAACATGAGTGTTATTTATTTGGTGAAGAATCAGGTTTTCCATGCACGGACGAAGCACATTGACGTTCGTTATTACTTCGTTCAGGATGTTCTTGAAGATGGAGATGTGAAGCTTATGAAGATTCACACAAAAGATAATCCAACGGATATGCTCACGGAGGTAGTTCCGAGCAATAAGTTCGATCATTATAGAAACTTATTACAAATTCGTGATTGTTGAGGCCTTTCGAGGCCATTTGGATGAACTACGGGTAGCTTGATCCCTTGGGAGAGGGGGTACGTAGGCAACCATATTGGTGCAGTCAGTTTTGGCGAGACAACGCATTGGTGCTCATGTTAGTATCGGCTCAGTTTTGGGAACACTTCACCGAGTTGGAGAATTGTAGAAAACGGCGTCGAATTGTTCAAAGTGTTGGAAAACAATAAAATTCAGCATGCCACTGGTGTGGTGCATGCCACATTCAGGTGTGGTAAAATCTGCCCTGTTGTCAGGGGTGTGGTGTGTGCCACACCTACACGTTTTGAGGGTTTCTTAACCAGAGAATTAGTATTGTTTTGAGGACTTTGAGAGGGAGGTATTATGAGGGAGTTGAGATCTTTGATTAGGGTTATTTTTGTGAGTTTGTGTGAGTTGTAACCCGTTATTTTAGTAATTGCCGAACCACGTAAATCTCTGTGTTTGTGTGATTTCAACCGTTATTTTGATGAATTTCACTCGTGTTTGGTTTTGGTTCTTCTCTCATCGCTCGTCGACTCGTTTGGTTCGCAAGCACGCTTTCATACGGCGCGCGACACAAACAACATAATGTTGTTATTTTTATGGAAGAATGCAATAGTTTATGTTTCTTTCTTATTTGCAAACTAAATATATTATAATATATTCCAAAATCAGACCCCTTTTTAAAACAAGGTAAATACTATGAAAGAAATGGACTATTAAAGTTGTGCAAAATCAAAGGTTTATTATTTTCTCTATTTCACAGTCAATTGTAAGAATCTTAAATCTCATTGAGTCCTTCATGGATGTGAAAATCACCTCATAGGTCACACTAAGGCTACGAATTATAGTCCAATAACATGGGAATGCGTAAAACACATCACATAACAGATAATTCCCGAGAATCGAATGCACCTAACACTGCCATAGATTACTGGCCAAATACAGAAGGGTCGGAACAGATTTTAGAAGGGGTGAATAAAGAAGGGCCAAATTAAGGTGCATTCACCATATGGTAGGCAGAACACTACGTAGTGGACTTTCTAAGGGTTTAAAGGCATCGAGAATCACTTGTAAAATCAGGAACACATCACTTATCAAAATTGACTAAACATTATCAAATCAAGTGGACGAGTTTAAAACTCATCATTTTAGTTAAAACAGTTTACAGATTTTACTGTTCCCTATTTTTATCAGATACTAAGTCATGGAAAATCTTTGAATCCATTAAACTGTTAAAACATATTCAAAATATTTCTTCAAAAGCTTTCAGATAAAGTAATATTCATAATTATTTGAGATTGCATGAGGGCCAAATTCACTTTTCATATTTTATATGAAATCAAATTTACTTTCAATATCTCATAAGAAATCAAAATCATATTATGAGTTAGGCTGCGATAGAATCGATCAAATCACATGTCATTTTCAATATAATAGAATAATCAAGATCAATCAATTAATAATACTCGTGCAATTTTATAGTATAAAATAGTAGTGAGAAATGAACTCACCTGATATTGTTCGAGTTTCTCAAAATATAAACCTGCTATCGACCAGCTCCTATAGTGTAAAGATATAAAATTAATATTAATTCAAGACAAAGCCCATATTAAAGGTTAATACCAAATTAATATGAACTTATACTAATCACTACATAATCTAGGTCCATGTAGGATCACATAGTAATAAGACACAAGAAAATGATTTATATAGGGTTATTACTAATCTTTACGCAATTCATCGCAGTTTTTTATAACTGTTCTTTACAAAATTTTGGACTAATTAATGATTTATGAACTTTTCAAGGGAATACAAAAAATTTCCAAGTATATATATAACTATATAGTAACCTGTTTGGACCTATACACAATCTCTAAAACTTAAACTAATTGTTTAGGGTCTACTATAAAATTTCCCCTAAATATATTTTCTCCATTTACCCCCTTCTTCCTCCTTCGTTCTCTTCTTCTTCTTCTCCTTCTTCTTCTTCTTATTCTTCTTCTTTTTATTTATTTGTTATTTTTTTCCTTGTTGGCCGCCACCAACGGCCATACTCTAGTCACGCTGCGTTTACCAGCAGTGGAGGATCCCCTTTGTTGGTGGACAGCCAACGACGATACATCACCGGAAACTTTGTTCCTCTTCTTTTCTCTTTATGAATTTATCTTTTTATAAACTCAACAATACACTCAGAAATTCGATTCCCATCACACAATCAAAACCAATTTTCCCCATTATCATCTCCATTACCTTAAATTTCTAGTGATTTTGTTGGATCAAGGAGAAAGTAGAAATATACCTCATTAGCTTAAAAATCTCTTAGCGTGTTGTCTCCTTCTTCCTTCTTTTTCATTTTCTCTTTCACCTTTGATTCCTAATCGACTTAATATCTGCAATAGAAAAATAAATTAAAGAGACTAAGAATGGAAAATGAGGTTTTTGGTTTCTTAACTTCCTTTTGAATTTTTCCATGGGCAGCAACATCAAAAGACGCTTCCCTCTTGCCTCCTTAAATTTCCAATAGTTAGGTGGCATAATCCACAGTGAATGACAGTTTAACAACCTTTCTTGTGTACATTTGCACAACAATCCCCATCAATTTCTATTTGCACTTAGTTGGTTTTGAGAAGATGGTGAATTTTCTTAATTTGTTTGTAGGTCACCACACTGCCCCTCCCCCAAAAAAAATTTAAACATACCCTTCCAAAGTTTAGCTACAAATTTTTACCTATAAATTCAAGTTCTAGCATCATTTATTTTTAAGAGTTTTTTAGGAAACCAATACAAAATATACTGGTTTTTTGAGGAATCGCCATGAAATTTTCAGTGTTCGTGAAACCACTAAAAAATATATACCTTTAACAAAATGCTACCGATCAAACATTAATTTTCATTCATATTTTATTAAATAATATTCTAAAATTCAGTCAAACCTTCCTTCCAATCTTTTATTTTATTTTCTCATCTCAACAAAATACATAACTTCATTGCAAAAGCTTAGCTAACACCCTAAAAAAATTAATCCCCTTCAAACGAAACGCTCCAAATTTCAGTCATGATGAGCCTATATGTCTTTTTATACTCTTATTTAGTAGAATATAGATATAAATTATGATTTAGTGGCACTTTGTTAACACTGCATATTTTCATGGTGGTTCTATGAAAACTGAAAAGGCTATGGCGGTTTTTTGAAAAACCATTATCTTTGTGGTGGTCTCGTATAAAAAAACCCAATTTTTTAAACTTATCCATTTACCAAATCACTATTAGACCCGAAATATAAATAGATTATCTTTTGCTTTTTTCTCACATTAATAAGTAGCATTGTGAACTGTAAATGAGTTTTTTTGTCCTATAAAGTGAAGTCAAAGCCACATTTATTTTTAATAACCTCACCAACTTTCTCAAAGGGTTTTGTCTATAAACCCAAAGGTTAATCCTGATTTATCTGTAAACCCATTAGCTTTTAGAATCGCTCTAAACCCCAACAAACTCCATCGAATTAATTTAAAACTATTTTATATTTCTAACGCGCATTTTAGATATATAATATGATATATAGTATTAGTATATTATATTATATATATTCACTATAGTAGTATATACTATATAGTATATATATATATATATATAAACGTATATAATATATTAGTAATTGATTATATATATATAATATAATAATATAATATATATATATATATATTATATATATATATATATTGGCATAAATTGCTAGTATTATACGTTGTTGAGCTTTGTGGCTATTGAATTGTTTTGCTAAAAGTCAATTAAATATTGGCGGCTATTTTAAACCAAATATTTGAAATAATTTTTTCTCTTAAAACGGCATTTCATAATAATGTCAGCAGCAACTCAACCAAACATTATAAATGATTTTTCGCCCTCTATAACACATCACTGCGCGCCCGGACCCCCCCTCCACCCACCCACCCACCACCCCCCACCGCACAACACACCACACACAAAAAGTTACTGGTCTCTCCTCTTTATTTAAAGGTTTTTTAAATGATATAAGACGCAGATTCTTCCTATTCTAAACAACCACCCACCCCACCCCAACCCACCCTATCAATAAAAATATTGACATTTTAAATACCTCCCCCCCCCCCACCCCACTCGACGTGAAAATTAGGTTGCATCCTATCCCAATACGGCCTGGATAATGGTTTACATATCTAATTATCTCTTACTATCTGCTTACCCCACGGATATGGATATACCTCAGTAGCCGCTAAAATTGAATATGGGTACGGATATACATGCAGATATATAAATGGATATGCATGCGACTACAAAAAGGATATGAGAAAAATTAACCTCAAATTTATTAATCTAAGGATTAAAACTTTTGCAACAATATGACCAAATATGTTTTCGGATATTTCCGATACAGATTCGCATATTTCATTACAAAACAATATCCATAACCATATCCTATTGATCATAGATTTGAAGAACTATATTTATGTTCTAATGGATACGATTACATATGAAAGTACCCTAAAGGGGGTGAATAGGGTAATTGCTAATCTAATCTGTTTTTTATGCCAAATTAAAACTTATAAGACGATATCCTAGCAATATGATATACAAGAATATATGCAAGGATAAACAATGATATAATAGGCGGTATAAACACAAGCACAAAATATAAAGAATAATAATGCACAAAAAATAATCACAAACACAATTTATGATCACGGAGTTCGGTCAACCCTCAACCTACGTCTCCACTCCTCGCCTCGAGGAGATCTCCACTAAATCTAAAATACTATACAATAACGGTTTCCAAGTTCACCGATAACTTTTAAAACTCATACTATGTCAATCACACAAACTACACTTTTCTAAGTGTTGGACTACCCGTGTCATATTCCTTAAGTGTTTGGAATTACAACCTCTCCCTAGGATTTATAACCAAGCCACTCCTCTTGAAATTGACCCCGGTTCTCTCCCAACCACTCATATAAGTGTCCTTATGTATTACAATGTGTTTAATGATAAGTGTGAATAAAGATTTTGTTATCTAAATAAGTGAAAACGAATTGTAAAGCTCTCTCAATGAATCACTTTCACAACCCAAATATATTTAATGTAAAATACTAAAGCTCAAGAGGTTGTGTGTGTAAACAATGAGTAAAATGAATATAAAAACAAGTAAATCTGATATATATATATATATATATGAGAATCAAAATATAAATTAGCTAAAAGAAGGATTTAGAAAACTTCTCCAAATAAAGGAGAGATTGAGATTTGAGCGCCTCAAAAATGAAATCGAGATCCTTCTCTTTGTGAAACTCTTTTCACATAAACAAACACACTTGATCTTTTAAAAAATTAGAAACAAAATGGTGAAACTTCTCTTACTTTTCTTTTCTGGAAAAATAAGTCTGAGGGCTATTTATAGCCTATCAAAATAGATCAAACAAAAACTAGCCATTACAGAAAAAATGCATGATCAGTTGACTAGTTGAATATATCAATAGATTGATAAACTAGCCATTACTGTAAAGAAAATAGATAGTCATGACTCGGTCGACTGAAAACCAAAATCAGTTGACTAAAAGCACTATTCAGTCGACTGACTCTAGTGGTCGGTCGACTGACCGATTGAAAAAATTAATGTAAAACCTCAAAAGTTTGAATAAATTGTGATAAATAGTAATAAATATTTTATATGATAATAAATACCATATTTTAATGTTTGAGTATGCTAGGGATTGATTTGAGATCAATCCAACGTATATATGTGAGTATATATGAGAAACAATCACGAAATCATGCACAAACCTGAAACTGAGTTGTTAGTAGTCGACTACTACTCAAAGTAGTCCACTAGTAAGGTCGTTAGTCGACTAATAAAGGCATTAATCGACTAATCGGGGTGTTTCTAGAATTCTTTCAGGTTTCGGGTTGGTTTTATTTTATTTTCGAACCTAGTTATTTATACACCTATAAATACTCATTAAAACCCTATTTTCAGATATTATAATTCGTGAGAACGGTAGCCACCTTCCTCCTCAAAACCCTAGCCCTAGTTTGTGAGATTTGGGAGAGTTTTTTGGTGTTTGTCGAGAGGGAGGTGGAGTTTGGTGATCGTGGTTGAAGAGAAATCTTGCATACACGTGGTTGAGGAGTTCAACAGCACCCTGAGGCAAGATCATCTTCATCCAAACCTGCACCCTTAGTAATTTTTAAAGATTTAATGTGTTTAAATTAATGTGTTACATGTTTATTCATAGTTACATGTAATAAAAGGTAGATTCTTGATAATAGACCTTTAACCCATGATAGATATGATGTTTTTACTTGTTGTTTATATTAAAAGCATGATCATGATCATTAGGGTTAATGATAATTTTGTTTTTAACTTGTCAATTAAGTTTAACCCATGTGCAAACCCTATTTTGTTAATTAATTGAGTTTTTCTTGTAAGTGATCATGCTAAGACCTAGGGTTGTGATATCTAGGCTTTGTAATTAGATTTAAAACAAAATATATGTCTATCATGTGTAGTTTCTATCAAGCTTTCATAATCATATTGATTATATATGAGTAATTGAAGAGATTGATTAACAAAGATGTTAACCCTAATTAGATTAAGTTAATTCAATGTTTCATGTTCAAGTTAGACTCTGTTAAAGGTATATATAATGTTTAAATCTTGTTTAATATTGCATAAGTGCATGCTAATTGGTTATCTTCCTATTCGCACATGTCAGAGTTCATGTTCATACAGAGTAGTCGGCTACTAAGCTTAGTATTCAGCTACTATGTCTATGTTTCAGTACACAGAAACGTTGTCATAGCAGAGTAGTCGACTAATGTTCATAATACTCGACTACTAACACTGAGTTCGATTTCACAGAGTCTGGATGGACTCAAAGTAGTCGACTACTAAGGTTGTTTTCCTAAATTTTTGTCTTCCATCTAGTTGGGAAGTGTTTGCGAGGTTCGATCCGCACTCCTTTGCGTGTAAATTCACGAATACACAAGTACAATGTTGTTTGCATAAACATGAGTACCCCAAAGGTGATTATGTTAAGTGTTGGGTTGTTTATTGTTCATACACTTGTTGGATATTGTCGATGAGCTCAGCTCAGTACTATATGAGATAGTACGTCGATATACCAAATATACACAGTTTATATACGAGATGGATATCGTTGATGAGCTCAGTTCAGTACTACGTGTGGTAGTGCACCAATATTCTATTTGTACATGCCATTGAGTCGGGTTTGGATGCTTTATCTAGCAGTCCGTCCACACGAGAGTGCGATGAGGCTTGTGAGCTGTCTTTTATGATACCTATATGGTAGGCCGTCCCATACTCATGTTACGCACTGAGATCACGATGAGACTAATGAGCCGTGTACACTATTTAGGATACCTAGAGGGTAGTCGTTTGCGCATGATAATGCGATGAAATTAGAATCTTGCAAGGATTTGCATTGAGACGATTATTGGTAGCCTG